TCGGACCCTATCTCGAACCGAACGTATGAATTCCCCGAGTCTCCTCTTTCTTCTCTATAGCGTTGTCAGGCTCGTCCATTCAGGATTATCCAAGATGCAGGCGCCAGTAGTGGTTATGAGTGCGTCCGAAGTCTCTACACAAATCCCGTGCAGCCCACTAACACGACTACAGACACGCAAACCCCTGGCGGGGAGCGGCAATTTGGTCGCAAAGCCCAGATTTCAAACATCACAGCCGCCAAGACTGTCGCCGACATCATCAGGTCATGTCTGGGACCCAAGGCCATGCTGAAGATGCTGCTCGACCCTATGGGTGGTATCGTCCTAACCAACGACGGCCACGCTATCCTCCGAGAGATTGAGGTCGCCCACCCAGCAGCCAAGAGCATGATTGAGCTGAGTCGGACACAAGACGAAGAAGTTGGAGACGGCACGACCACAGTCATCATATTGGGTGGGTTCAGAAAAAAAACCGGTGTGATGAATGAATAGGTCACTAATACTGTATAGCTGGAGAAATCCTGGCACAAGCTCTCCCCCAGCTTGAGCGAAACATCCACCCCGTTGTAATCATCCAGGCCTTCAAGAAGGCCCTCGCCGATGCCCTCGAGATTATCAACCAAGTCGCCATCGATGTCGATGTTGACGACGATGAACAAATGTACAGAATCATCAGCTCGTCTATCGGCACCAAATTTGTCTCGCGGTGGACGAAGCTGATGTGCAGTTTGGCACTCAAGGCTGTGCGGACTGTCTCGTTAGACATTGGCTCCGGAAAGAAGGAGGTCGACATCAAGCGCTATGCCCGTATCGAGAAGATCCCTGGGAACGAGATCGAGGACAGCGAAGTGCTGGACGGCGTCATGCTCAACAAGGACATCACACATCCAAAGATGCGGCGGAGGATCGAGAACCCCCGCGTTCTGCTTTTGGATTGCACATTGGAGTACAAAAAGGGCGAGAGTCAAACGAACATTGAGATCAGCAAAGAGGAGGACTGGAACAGGATACTGCAAATTGAAGAGGAACAGGTCAAGGCCATGTGCGATGCCATCATTGCGCTCAAGCCAGATCTTGTCATCACTGAGAAGGGCGTCAGTGGTAAGTACAAATAGCTCAGCACGGACACAACGGCTGCTAATCTACACAGATCTCGCACAACACTACCTCGTCAAGGCCAATATCACCGCCATTCGCCGAGTCCGCAAGACAGACAACAACCGCATTGCACGTGCGACCGGTGCCACAATCGTGAACTCTGTATTCTCAGCCACTGCTGCAGACATTGGTACTCAGTGTGGGCTGTTCGAAATCTCCAAGATTGGCGACGAGTACTTCACCTTCCTCACAAAGTGCAAAGATCCCAAGGCATGCACAATCCTGCTCCGCGGGCCCTCAAAAGATATCCTGAACGAGATCGAGCGGAATCTGCACGATGCCATGGGCGTTGCGAGGAACGTCATCTGGAACCCCAAGCTCTGCCCAGGCGGCGGAGCTACGGAGATGGCCATTGCTGTTGGTTTGGATCGACGAAGCAAGCTCATTGAAGGTGTCGCACAATGGCCCTACAAGGCCGTCGCCGAAGCAATGGAAGTCATCCCCCGCACACTCATTCAGAACTCAGGAAACAGCCCTATCAAGGTGCTCACACAACTACGCGCAAAGCACGCTGAAGGCTTTGAAGATGGCAAGATGAATGGAAGTTTCTGGGGTATTGATGGCGATGCTGGCAAAGTCGTCGATATGCGTACCTACAATGTGTGGGAACCGTTGGCAGTCAAGGAGCAGAGTGTCAAGACTGCAGTCGAGAGCGCATGTCTATTGCTGAGAGTCGACGACATTGTCGCTGCCAAGTCTGCAAAACAGATCAGCGGTCCGATTGGTGGAGGGGATGATTAAACAACGGTTTAGAAAAAAGGGAAAGCTGTACAATTCGTGTGTGATGTGCGAAGAGTCGATAAAGCAAATAAACAAAACCTTCAACTTGTATCTAGCATTCTGGTTATGTCTATGAGATACTATCTTGCATCGTGAATATGTGGATGAGGAGAAGATTGAAGGAATATGTTTGTTTGCGAAATCACGTTTTACTATTAGCAAAATAGAAACGACCAGAGTATCCATGTAACATCTAATAGCTGAGCATACTTTTAATCGGGTTTTTCATTAGCCGATCTTTAGTTCACCTGTGAAGCCGGCCAAATGACCTGCAGAGGCGATGACATGGCATGATCGGTGATGATCATAACACAAAGTCCCTCACCCATCAAACGTACCTATCTCGCGTAATTCCCTTCACGTCATTAGAAATAATAAAAGTGAGCTGGATACAGAAATTACGAGCGCTCTGTTTGCTTTCCCGCAAGTACCTCACAGCTGCGCTTGTGCAGTTGTGTTACAGATTGATTCTTTTGCTTTGATTTTGTGCATAACTGAGTCCCGAATCGCTCATGCCCATGCACTTAATCTCATCATCTCTGTCGTTGCCATCCACCCATGCCGCACCACCAGTCAGGCTTCGAAGTTCGTATAGTAGTCGATCTTGCTGCATCGCTATGGTGTGGATCTAGAAGTTAATGAACTCGGCGTCTCCATCAAAACGTATTCTTAGATCGAACTGCTATATGTTGTAATAGACCCGAACCGAGCTAATGTAGTCTGCCTTATTGACATCGGGCAGTGGCCTCCTGCGAGACCGAATATCACGAAAACGTTGATTCCGGGGGTATTTCTCCAGTTCAAGAATGGCTCGAGAGTAATCTGATCAATTCTTCACAGTTAGGAGTACTTTGCTGAGGCTTCAAAATTTCCCAATCTGGATTGCAGAGAGAAATTAGGCAAGTGTTGTGTATGCGGCTGAGTGAAGAGTATCGGTAATTGATACTGCCTGTAATTTCCCAGTGGTGCACGATATTAAGAAGAAATGAAAAAAATTAATCACTCCTGCCTAGCAGGTGCAGTGTAACCCGATGAGCAGCATCTGCCTACAATCTGGACCCTTAGATCTAGTCATATCTGACCGCAAGAGCATTGGAGTAGCGTCGCAGTGATTTCGTCTATACACAGGGGATAGTGTGAGAAATACAGGACTGCCAAGTGTGCAAGAATTTGATCAAAGTACTTGGCTGTTCCCTAACACATTACAAAGGTACAATGTGAATTAGTAGTTCATTGCGGTGAATGGACTCATAGGGTAACGATGAGATTTTTGGACAGTTCCGAGCATCACTGATTGACGTGACTACTACCGGTATTAGATTACCAGATCAACGAAGGTATGAACTGGCTAAATCACACTCATCTCGCCCCGTTCCATTCGGTGAATCCTTACGCGATCTCCAGGACCAATGAAAACAGCTCAATTTAAAGTATGAACATCCACATTCTCATATCCTATTGAGGGCAATAATAAACCTGAGAATTCTGCTCATAGTTCGTCGGGTGCTGCCAAACACAACAGTCAACACTTTGCAAATCAACGCGATTTCACAGCTAAGATTCATAAAATTGCATCTAAAATGAGTATCAATAATAATACCGCTATTATAATACTAGAGGCATCCCGCATAGGTGTAATTGCAGGTTCAAGTGCAAGTATTGTAAATGGGTGGGTGAAGCAAACTTCCACGGCAAAGATCCATTTCAATAACAACTTGAAGCGGGGTAATCTTACTGGAACACGGTGACAGAGTGGAGGTGCACAGGCATACCAAATTCGTGAAATCGTGACTACGCAAATGTCCAGTCAAAGATGATCAGTGGCTAGGCAATATTGAGAGTGCGAAGACGAAGGTCCAATTTGTTGGATGTGACACAGTTGAAGTGACCATGATGATGCTCTGTACAAGAGGAAGATTGTCTGCTCGAAGCTCTGCGCGTAGTCATTGATTAGTCCATCTTGCCTTGGACTGTGACCAAGGTTGACAGACCTCAAGGAGGTTTGGTGCACGTGATACGACAGGGGTCCCCAGTGGGCCTATCCTAGGACAGCCTAGAGCCTAACCAGTCCGGACCCCCGAAGCGCGTCGTGAACGACTTCGCGACCGCTGGCAACATTGAACCAGCTGCCACTCGAAATGCACTCGACACGATAGCTCCTACCTGTCTCGCCGCCTAAAACGTTTGCACTCTACCTACGTTTGCATTTGCATCCTCTTCCCCACACTTCGAGGATAACTGTCACGACCCACCAAAACCCCAACACCCCGCCATGGGCTCCCGACTACACAATGCCCCCATTGTCATCGACAATGGCAGCGGCACGATCCGAGCAGGGTTCGCAGGAGAAGACGTGCCCAAATGCTACTTCCCTTCGTACGTGGGCCGGCCGAAGCATGTACGGACCATGGCAGGTGCATTGGAGGGTGATCTTTTCATAGGCCCACAGGCACAGCAATACAGGGGACTGTTCAAGATCAACTACCCATTGGAGCATGGCATTGTCACAGACTGGGATGATATGGAGAGGATATGGCAATATCTATACACGGAAGGCTTGAAGACTGTCAGCGAAGATGTGAGTGGGCACATGTACATGGGCAGAAAGGTGGGCGGTGTGGGATGAGCATGGAAGCTGACCATGACCACTAGCATCCAGTCCTTCTCACAGAACCTCCGCTGAATCCTCGAGACAATCGTGATACTGCTGCCCAGATACTCTTTGAGACGTTCAACGTGCCAGCGCTATACACTTCCGTCCAGGCCGTTCTCTCCCTATACGCCTCAGGCAAGACAACTGGACTGGTACTGGACTCGGGCGATGGTGTGTCGCATGCAGTCCCAGTCTTCCAAGGCTTTGCGATCCCCAATAGCATACGGAGAATCGACGTGGCCGGCCGGGATGTAACAGAGCACTTCCAGCAACTACTACGGAAAAGTGGACGAATCTTCCACACGAGTGCAGAGAAGGAAACGGTCAAGAACATCAAGGAAACCACAGGCTACGTAGCGCTCGATCCGGCAAAAGAGGAAAAGGACTGGTCTGGATCATCGAGATCAGAGGGCAAGAGCGTCGACTACACACTACCGGATGGGCAGAAACTGAAGGCGAGTCTAGAAGAGAGTCACACAACTGGGACGTGGACAGAGGCTGACAAGAAGCAGATTGGTGCAGAACGATTCCGGGCGCCAGAAATCCTTTTCAACCCTGAGATCATCGGGCTCGAGTACCCTGGAGTACACCAAATCGTCGTCGAAGCGATACATCGGACCGACATGGACCTACGCAAAGCCCTCTACGGTAACATTGTGCTCTCAGGTGGTTCCACGTTGACCAAAGGGTTTGGAAACCGACTGCTCCACGAGGTGCAGCGGTTGGCGGTGAAGGATATGAGGATCAAGATCTTAGCACCGCCAGAGCGAATATACACCACGTGGACGGGAGGCAGCATTCTCGCGGGCCTCAGCACGTTCAAAAAGGTAGGCAGGCATTCGTGGCAGAGGGAGGCTGTGGATCGCATCCAGCTAACCGTGGCCAATACAGATGTGGGTAGAAAAAGACGAATGGCAAGAAAACCCAGACATTATCCACACCAAATTCGCCTAATGCGGCACAATGCACAATGCGTTGTTGGGGTTTTTGGTGGCATGGCAGCCCATCCGCAACAGACAGCCTCCGACTTTTGTTTCTCCACCCCCGTCCTCGTTGCCGCGTCGAGAAGAGCATGTTCGAGAATGGATGGGCAGGTGGAGGAGGGAGGAGGAGGGAGGTGTACAATAGGCTTGTTAGTCATAGTTTCGGCCTCGGTCTCGAGGCGGAGCCGGGGATCCAACACTCGTGCCAGGAGCAAGGGGAGGGCGATTGGGAGGGCAATGGACGGCGGACCGAGAGAGAGTGGGCAGCGGACGTTTTGATCTTGATCTACCGTGTCAGCCGATGGTGCCCCTGACGGGAACGGCGGCCACTTGAGGCTTAGTCTTGTTTCTCCCCCGCATTTGCCGTGCATTTCTGTTACTTAAGCGCTGGGGCTTGGCATCGCATGGGGTCGGATGTGCTATTACGTGAAAATCTGGGGTGCAGTTTGTCTCAGCCTGTTGGGTGGGAGGGTCGAGTGTTTGGGTTAGAGGGTATAGGAGGGAGAGGATGTATGTGTGTGTGTGTGTGTGTGTGTGTGTATACAAATCAATGCGCTCACCTCCGTCACGGGATGGGCGAACAGACTTAGCCAACTACTTTTGTGGGTGGCCAACCCAAAAGCCAAAAGCCAAAAGCCAGGTAGGTGACCAGACCCCAGTCCAGAAGCCAGATTGGGACAGGGAAAACAAAACCCACGCGTCAGCAACGCCAAGCATCGTGAAGTTGGTCCTGCGCTCGGAAGCTGACTTGGGGTAGAGTGTAGAGTGTAGAGTGTGGGGTGGATGGGATGGATGGGATGAATGGAATGCATGGCCCATACTAAGCCATGTGCGTGGTCAAAAGGGAAATCGCCATGACCCCATCCCATGCAGAAGCGCGCATCGTCATCACCGGTTTTCACTCATGTACATGTTAGAGTAGTAGCAGTGCGCACACTTGCAATGACAACATGTCATTGGCGCCATGATGTGTGTACACTGTACGTACAAGTATAGTACGCATAAACGCATGTGTGTACAATGTTATACCAACAACACGGGCCCCCCCCCCCCCCCTCCCCCCCTGAACCCACCCCAACAATTTTCAGGGGGGAAAGGAAAATCCCAAAAATAAAACGTGGTCTTTTTTTTGGGGGGTTCCGGATCTTTTCCTGTGCCCCGGGGAAGGGAATGGGGTGGGTAAGGGGTGCCCGTACAAAAAGAACCAACTTAAAAAAAGGGGTTGAAAATTGGGGGTGGGTTATGGGGGGGTGTGTTGTGTTTGGGTTTGTTTGGTTTGGGTTGGGTGTGTTGTGCTTGGTTGGGGCGTGGCATGGAATGGCCTGGGATTTGGTGGGTTTGGACTAGAGTAGAGGTAATGTGGTGTCACGGGTTTAGGCAATGGGCCAAGTCAGGTGGGCACTTTGAGGTCGGATTGGACCCCTAGTTTGGGGCATGGGATGGGCATGGGATGGAATGGGATGGGATTTTGGAGAAATTCGGGGAGCTTGGAGGGAGCTCGCTGGCTTGACGCGGATGTGGCAGTGCTTTCATTCCTTCTTTACGCGTGGGCTTTTGGTGCGGTACCAAGCAAGTACGATTGTGCGGTACTTTAGCTAGATGGGGTACCGTGCAAGATGAGGCGAAGACGTCATACGGATCGATCGGAAGCTGGGGGCCAAAGACGATGGCGAAAGGGGGTGGTTTGACAGAATAGACAAAGGATGAGGCTGGCAGTGCGTTCTGATCGGGATGAGGATATTGCAAACGATGATTGCGTCAACATGCAACACGGTAGACGTTTCGGTGTAGGACTGCGGTACCTTGCACCTGCACCGACCATCGCGATCAAAGACCCCCCTCACCCCACCACTCCTACTACTCTACCATGACCACCCACGACATCCAGCCACCTTTGCCATCCTTCCTCCTCCTGCACAGTCAATCCAGGCACCGCCAGTCCTCTCCAATGGGGAAGATGGGGAAAAAAAAATCTCTTCTAGCCTATCCGCCTCCACAGACTGGTGGTGGGTAGGTATCATGGATGTAGGTGCAGCACCTACATGCCATGGGACCAACACACTATAGAGTATGGCGTTGGTACTCTAGGAGGAGTAGAGTACTCTAGTAGCCCTTTGTCTTTCTCGGCGGCGGGCAAATCAACCACCACCACCTTTTCACCCCTGGGTACCGATGCGTTGGAGAAGCGGCCAGAAGCCCTCCTCTGAGATTCTCAGCCTCCTCTCCACACCGAAGCGCATGGTGTGTATATTTTTGCACACGCAAAAAGAGAGTAGAGGAAGAGGAGGAGTGAAAGGAATTGCGGCTTGATGCCTTGGGTAGGGTACTCTACAGTGACAAGTTTCGTCATCGAGATTGCAAAACAGGCAGCCAACGCAAGAAAAGAAAAGAGGAAACCAAAAAAAAAAAAAAAAAAAAAAAAAAAACTCTTTCTCATGGCCCACGATCCAACCTCATCTCCCCCCCCCCTTCCTCCCTTCTCGTGAGTTTCTGTTACCCCCAAAAAATTGCCCCCCCTGGCCATTCAGGTCCGGGCCACGCTTGGATCACCGGGTCAGGGGGGCAACGCCTGCAACGCCTGCGACGCCCGCGACGCCCGCGACCACTCGGCGCCCCCGCTTCCCCTTAACGCGACCACTTATTACCGCCGATTGAAGCCCCTGACTTTTCTTGCCCTCTGCCCTCTTGTCTGTCACCAACCGCGCGAGCGAGAAAAGAGGAAAAGACCACGAGCACAAGGGGTCTGGAGGCCTTGGACAGCTCACGTCTTTGTTGCTAACTCCCAACATGCCATTCCCCTAGCCTGGCAATGGACTGGGCCGACGCACACATGATGTATTGATTGCCGTTAACTGCAAAGTGCGGTTGCGTTGTGACCTTTGCCTGCTCCGATGGCTTATTTATTTTTTTCTTCCTTTCTCGTGGCCCCAGTCTTCTCGATTTGTTCGATTACTAGTAAAGGACGCTGAAGAGTTGGGGAATTGGGGGGGCCCTCGTTAACGCGCGTGCGTACCGCGGCCTCGTGCATCGGTTAGTGGCCCTCCCTTCATGTCTGCCATGGGGCCTAGTGAGCCATTACGGCAACCCCCCTGGCCCCTTGCGTGATGATGCGTGTGTGACCTGGGTGAAGTGCGGAGTCATTTGGTAAGAGATTTGCGCATCGTGGCTTTTTTGTGTATTTAAGGGTGTTGGCGCCCGTTGGGGGTGAAATGGCTTTGTACCAGAGATTGTAAATCACCACATCACACTACTACCAACCATCTACTACTACGACCACCACTACAAGAATCATCTACCCCGGAACTACAACACTATCATCGCCCACGGTTCTGGTTCTGGTCTACTGATACGCTAGAGTATCATCATCATCATCATCATTAAAAACACAATACCTGGTCAACGGGAGAAAGAGATATAGTCGCCACTGCTTGACTTGAGTCACACCACATCACAACAAATCTCACTCGAATCTTACCATACACACACACCACACCAACTCTCTACCAAACAAACGTCAACCAACCAACCAACCAACCAACAACATGCCATCCTTCCACATCACCGAACCCCACCCCTCCCCCAAAGCTCCCTACATCTACTCCGGCCGTGGTGGCGCCGGCAACGCCCTGCGCATCACCCCAAGCACCCTCACCCCCGGCGCCACAGCCTCTGGCCCTGCCTCACGCGCAAAGCTGCCCTCTCCTCCCACCAACAACGTCTACGCCACCGGCCGCGGCGGCGCCGGCAACATGAAGACACGCACCGAGCACCGCGCCATGTTCTCCTTTGACGAGGAGCTGCAGCAGCAAGAACGTCTGCGCAGTCAGCAGGCCCCCGTCTACCACATTGGCCGCGGCGGCGCCGGCAACCTCATCGACGAGATGAAGCCCCGGCCGCGCACGATGAGGCAGGGCAGTGCGAGCAGTGAGAGTAGTGTGGAGAGTGAAAAGGATGGGGTGAGGCGGAGTATGGATAGTGCGTGGAAGAGGTTCAGCCGCGGATTCGGCCATTCATAGCGGGGGAACAGAGCTGTCTTCTTCTTTCCTTTTGGCGATTTTTTCCATTGACGACGACTACGATTGCATGCAAGGTTTGGTTCTACGCCTGCCTGTCTGCATCGATATAATGAGGCGTGGATGGGCTGCATCCATCTCTGGCGTTCTTCTTCTTCTTCTTCTTCTTCTTTCTTTTCCCCTTCTCCGGCGCGAGACCAACAGCGAGAGAGAGTGAGAGCTGGTCCTGATTCTCTCCTCCCTCACCTTCATCCCAAAGCATTTTCACAGCCCGGCGTTTACTTGTCATACCACAACAACTCGCTGGATACCCCCACCGCCACCAATCAAGCAACCAACGCCACCAAAAGTTTCTAGCCTCTTTGTTTTTTCCCTCTCTTCCTATCCTACCTCTCCCTCATTTATGGGACCAGGGGCGGCGAGAGATGTATATATACCCCATTTGTTTTATCCTGTAGCTAGCGACAGCGAGAAGGGATAGTGCAGAATGAGATGGGTGTTTTGATGTGTGTTTAATCCCACTATGATGCATTATGGATTGACATGGTTTGCGTCATTGCTTTGTTTTGTCTTTTTCTGTGCTGTGGGGTTTTAAGACGAGTTGTGTGAGAGGGAATTCGTGATAGTAGTTGTACTTGGTGAAATCTTAAGTTCAAGCTTCAGACACAGTGTCGTGTATACAACAAACCCAGGACATAGGTAAGCTAGACACATGTTGGCCGTGATTACACATCCACCCAACATGTCCAATCTCCTCTTACACCACAACCAAGCAAGGAATACAGCTGTAATCGCAATTCCAACAACGAACCACCATGTCTCCATTGTCGCCCGGATTTTGCAAGGTCGCACAAGAACACTAATGAAGGACAGAGTCTCGCAATTCTATGCTACTACTTCATCCAAGAGACAAAATCTGCGGCCTGATGTGAGCAGTGCGGTAGTTTGTTCAGCGTGCCATGGTACCGGTATGTAGGGTGGTGAGCTAATTCTTGGTCATCGCTCGCAATCCCGGATGATTGCATGAAGAACATCCGAAGGATTTTGCCAAGGTAAACACATTGTACAGAAATGGTAAAACTACTCTTTGGCCGAGACTCGTGGTGGCATGTCATATGACCATGGGTTTAGCGTCGGGCGACTTGGGCTTTACTCTAAGTGGTTAGAATATCCCTGTAGGTTCAAGTCCACGTCACAGCGGCAAATTTTTATAGTTATATAAACTAGCCTATAGTTAAGTATAAATTAGGGTAATTTAAGCAAGTAAATATAGTTTTTATTACTATCTTTTTTAAATATATTCTAAACCTATTCTTAATAATATATAAGTGTTCTTAAATACTATACTAGAGTTTAGTATAGTAGTACTAGATAATATATCTAAACTAGATAGTAATATTAGAGATAAATTTAAGTAACTATATAAAGTACTAGAGGAGGATAGTAGTAGTAGTATTAAGGAAGTAAGTAAAAGTAAATAGAATAAGTTTAGAATAGGTTAGTAATACGTTATAGGGGTATAATATATACCTTACTTATAGTAATAGTTAAGGACTACTACTTATACTAGTAATTATTAAGTATATAGCTATTCTCCTAGTATACCCTTAATTATATAGCTAAGGGTATAGGTATATAATACTAGTTTAGTAATATAAAGATAGCTCTTACCTAATAAGAGAAGAGGTGCTTATATAGGCTATATAGGTAACACGTTAAGAACACGTTCTTAAATTATTCTAATTCTAGCAGGTATAATACTCCTGCTAGTCTATCTATCTTAATAGGCCTATAACTTTACTATTCTTTAATAGCTAGCTAGCAAGCTAGTATAAATACTAATACTCTAGGGTAAAAGTGTGTAAGTATCTTAAGAATATATTATAAACATGTTCTTATTATATTATTAATAATATATTATATAATTAGATCTAAACCTTAAAAAGTGTAGTACCTAAGAAAATTCTATAAAGAGAACTATAAATAAGAAGCTATTATTATAGCCTTATTAAGCGCTTCTCTTTAAGGATTTATAAGGACTACTAGGTATCTTATTATCCTATAATAAGGACTATAGTAAATTAGGTAGGGAGTAAAACTTAAATATATTTAAAACATGTTAATAATAAGTTAGTAAATTATAGAATAGGCTTAACTATATATTAGCTATTAGAACTATAGCCTAATATCTACTACTAGGAAAAAATATTATTTTAGTTAGGTACTACTAGAGGTAGACTCTATATATCTATAAGGTCTTCTAACTAGGGAGATATTAAATCTTTCTAGTAGTCCTGCTTTATATTCTGTGGTTAAGCTATAGTTAAGCTAGATAAAGAAGTGTAGTAGGTATATTATAACCTATTCCTAACATATTCCTAATATATTCTAGGCGTTAATTATCTATAAGGGCAAGGATCTCTATTTAAAATCCTATATAAAGTTACCTTCTAAGTAATTATACTAATAGATATAGTAGTAATACCTTTTTTTACTATTATTTCTTTTAGTATATATATATATATACCTTCTCCTCCCTTAATACTATCTAATAGTAATATTAAGGAAGTAGTAAAGGTATTATAGCCTATACTTACTCTATAGCTTATATAATATAAGTTATTTATAACCTATTATAAATATATTCCTAACTTATTATAGCCTAGTTCCTAAACTTAACCTAGCTCTAAACCTATCTCTAACTTAAAGGTTTCTATTCTATTAAAGAAATGCATATTAGCTTTGCAAATAAAGATAAAATCTTGCGTATTATAAAGTATGAAAAGCTTCTATAGTTCCTATTTAAGAGTAGCCTTAGAGGAGTACACTATAAGTAGAGGATAAAGTATTAGGATCCTAAAACTATATATGGTATAAGAGAATAGGTTTAGAATATATTACTAATATATTACTATAGGCGTATATATAGTAAATCTTTATATTAAGCTTAGGTAACTTAATTATTTACCTTTTTAAAGAGTAGGTATTAATTCTATTAGATTAAGACATGTTCTAGATAGATATATTATATAAGAGGTTATATAGGGCATAGGTAGAGATTCTAATAGTAATCTTCTACCTATAAGAAAAGAAGCGTACGTATTAAGAATAGGTTTATAATATATTTCTAATATATTATAGTTATTATACTTAGCTAAATTATTATAGATAAGGATATAACTAAGATATATTAAGTTACTATTACTAACTTCTTTTAGAAGTGTAAAGCACTTATAAAAAGATAAGTGTTATAGAGGTATATTTACTTATAGGGATTCTATAGGACTACTATTAATATATGTAATAAGTAGATAATAGGCAAGTTTTATAGCGCACTGTAACCTGTTTATAATATATTTCTAACTTATTTCTAGGACTTAGGCACTATCTTTAGTTAATTAATCCCTATAAGCGTGACTAGCGCTAGTAACTTTAATCTTGTATAAGATTTTGTTAAGTATATCTATAAAGAAGTATTTATAAAGTATATAAAAGAGAGCTAGATAATACTACCTCTTTATATCTAAGTGAATTACTATAGGTATTAATAGTAGAGGAATACTTTTAGCTTGCTAACCTCCTCTTACGTAAGTAAATATATTCTAAACCTATTCTAAACATGTTCCTAACTTGTTCTTATATAATTAGAATATAAACCCTCTAAAGATACCTAAAACTAGGTAATCTATAAGAAAAACCTAGTAATTACTACTAGGATTGTGTAATACTATAGTAAAATATTAAAAGAGGTATAGGAAAAACTAGAATCTTATTTAAATATAGCTAAGCAAGCAGGCTAGAAAGGATATAAAACTAGTAAGCATATAAGTATTCTTAAGGCTACTTAGAAGTAAGTTTATAACCTATTCTTAACCTATTAGAATTATATAAGTAATATTATATAGTATATACTAGATAGATCTGTAGGATATAAAAGAGTTTAAAGCCTAGAGTAAGTTTAGAATACGCTATAACTATAGAACTCCTAATAGGCTTAAGCAAAGGTACCTTAAAAAGCTTTAGAGGGGAGAAAGTAAGTCTTACGCTAGCGTTATATATATTTGCTAATTAAAACATATTTAGAATATATTTAGAACACGTTCTATAATAATAATAATACTCTAGATAATAATAAAGTAAGTCTTGCTATATCTAACTTAACTAGATATATCTTAGTCCTAATAAGAAATAAAAGAGTATGCTTAAAAGCCTAAAGCTAGAGGGCAAGTAGTAGAGTAGTATTAGAAAGAAGTTTACTAGCCCCTTTTCTATCTTCTCTACTACTAGGCTCTTCTCCTCTACTAATAGCAACCTAAAGGTATACTTTGCAAAACACGTTTATAACACGTTCTTAACTTATTATTAGTCTATAACTATAAACTTTATAATAAAAGGCTCTTCTTAGTAATTAGGCTCTAAAGGAGAGAAAAGAAAAGCTAGAGGTAAATAAGGAAGAACTTATATAGAAAAAGGCACTATTTAAATTATAAAAGGTATAGTTTAAACTTAAGAAAGAGATAGCTACTTTTTATATAAGGTAAGGTTAGTCTATAAATATAGTAACTAGTTCCTAACTAGTTCTTAATATATTCTAGTCTATTATATAAGTATATATAAGTAGATAAATATATATTCTTTCTTCTTCTCTTTCTTCTTCTTTCTTCTTACACTCTATAAGAACTTTTTATATTTAAGAGTTTAATACTATTTTACTATCTATCTTTCCTAATATTATTAGATATAACTAGTTAATATAGTCTATAAAGATCTTTTAAAGTTAGTATATAATAGAACGCGTTAGGAATACGTTATAAACTTATTCTAACACTAAGTAGGATTTATACTAGTAATATATTAAGCTTAAGTTACTTCTATCTAATACTAGGGTATTCTCTCCTATAATATCCTACCTAAATAATAGGTGTATAGTATTTCCTAGCAAGCTTTTCTACTAGGCTATTTAGGCTAGATTAGGGGTATAGGAACTTTATAGAGTATATATATATATAAGTTAGAACACGTTTATAATATATTAATAACTATTTTAGTATTACTTCTCTAATAGAGGCAATCTTATCTACTACCTTAAGAGGTATTATCCTAAGGTTTAAATAGCCCTAGTAAACTATAGTAGAACTATAATATAAGGTATTATAAAAGTAAGGATCTTCTATAGGAGCTTAATAGTAAATGCTTAAGAATATATTCTAAATATATTAATAATATATTCTCTACTAGTAGAGTAGACTATACTAAGTACCTTCTCTAAGGTTTAAGAACCCTCTAAGATAGCTAGTCTATAATAAGAAGTAGTAGCTAGAGTAGAGGCTAAAGAGGAAGTAGAGAGTAAAGAAGAGGAGTAAATAGTTGCTCCCCTTTACACTATAAATAATATTTAGTAAAAGTAGTAAAAAGGAGATATAAGTCTAGTCTCTTAAAATATATTTAGAATATATTAATAATATATTATAGCTAGACACCTATAAATACTAGATTCTTCTTTAATCTAAGGGACTACTAGAGCTTTATAATACCTATAAAAGTTAAAAGAAAAAGTTATATACTATTAAAGGACCCTATAAAAGTAAATAGTACTTTACTTTTAGTAGATAGAAAAAAAAAGAGAAGAGTAGAGAGTTTATTTTAGTAATTACTACTACCCCTTTAGGTTATATACTATTATATATTATTTATTAGAACCTATTCTTAATATATTCTTAATATATTCCTACTTATTACTATTATTATCTCCCTCCCCCTCTCTAGTATCTTCTCTATCCTCCCTATCCTCCCTAGGCTCTATAAAAGCATACTATAAGTAGAACTAGGTAGTATTCTAGCAGGAATTAGTAAGGTCTATACTAGTATTAAAGTAATAGTCTTAAAATATATTAAGAATAGGTTAATAATATATTATAAATAACTTACTATAGCTAGGATAATTATAAGTGTAGATAGTATAAGGAACCTAATAACCTTAAATCCTTAGTAGGGTAGATATAGTAATAAAGTTAAGCTATAATAAGTTAGTAATATATTTTTAATAGGTTCTTATAGGCTATACCTTATTACTATTATAGCTAGTGCAAGTCTTCTTCTAAATTATATTTAAGAGGGTATTAGTATTTACTAGGGGGCCTATAGTAGCTACTAGCTAGGCTTAAAGAACTTTTATAAAATATATTAGTAATAAGTTTTAAATATATTCTAAATAACTTATAGTAAGAAGTATTTTAGTAATTATATATAACCTTTATATAGAAGTTTATATATATTAGTATAATAAGTTAAGAATAGGTTAATAATATATTTACTCTTTGCCTTATAGACCTCTCTTATAAAGGGCTAGCTAGTCTTCTTAACCCTACTAACCTTATAGTAGGCTATATTAAGCCTATAATCTTTTTTAGCATAGGTATATAGAGTGCCCCTAGTACCTAGAATAGCCTAAGAATATTAGAACCTATTTAGAATATATTTAGAACCTATTCTTACTCTATATAAGGTACCCTTATTATTAATCTTAGTATAGTAGTAGCGCTCTCTACTCTTTATCTTAACTACCCTATTAGGGCTAACTATAGGCTATACCCTAATATTATCTAGGATATAGCTAAGGGCAAGGTACTATTAATAGTACTTCTATAACCTATTAAGAATATATTCTAAATATATTTTAATCTACTTATATAGGATATAAGGGATATATTAGTAATAGGTATAGTAGTAGTAGCTTATAGTATTACTAGTATAGAATATATTTAGAATAGGTTTAGAATATATTATAAAATCTTATAGTATAATATTTAGTTAACCTTGCTTAGCTAGCTAGTAGAGCTTGGCATAGCCTAACCCCATGCTAAATACAAGTTCACGCAGCGCTAATTCCATGGTTATATGAACTGCGCCCTCCCGAGACTCTGTGTAGGATGTCGCGGAGTAAATGGACGCCTGGGCGGGGAGCCTGAGTCAGCAAACTTGGCCCGATTTGTCCATGTCGGTACCCACGGTGCCGTTTCCAAGGGCGCAAGCTTTGTCGCTCCGATCCTCATCATGCCATCCTCATCCCCTCGGTGTTTCATGGCACCAGTTTGAGCAAGCACTGGCCGGAAACGACTGTACGCTCCCAGTATTTTTCTGACGAATATTCACGACGATCGAAATACCATCCTTGTTGGGATTTCCCCGAAACTCTTGGCCTGTACGAGACATGCAAACGCTTCACTGGCCCTCTTGCGATTCTAGTTACTCATCGGGCAATCCCAATAATGAACCGCATCTTTTTATATCGATGCGTGACATGACTTGACTGTTCAGGAGGCATGAAAGCACACCTGCCAACCCCACATTCCGGTCATTTAATATGTGTTCCATATGACTTCATTTCCTCCAATTTCAGTCCGTGTCGAAACGTTACCAAAGACACCATCACAGCCCTCCCATCTTCACCTCATCCTCATCGTTCCCTGCAGCGTTGTTTAAAACAGAGACTGCGCCGAGGCGCCTTCTGTACAAGTGAAATCATTACAGATCGTCGCCTCTTCTGGGACGTTGCGCTGCTGCGGCGCATCTCGGTCGTGCCACTATTCGCCCTACGGTTACCGGTACCTATAATACCAGGCTGTTGTCGGCGTTATTACACACGTATGACAAGGTGCTTTGCGCAGGACAACTGTTAGTATATACAAAGACCACTTGATCCTTCCACTGGGATTCATCACTGTCGTTTGCTTCACCTTCCACCCCAATTCCGAATTGCCAACGTCACACGGGATACTCCTGCCGTCTCTCAGCACAACCCCGTTGAGGTTAGCGCGACATTTACCACCTTCACCATCGACGACGACCCTTACTTCTGGAGACCGTCAGCTGCACTTGACATATATTTAAACGTCTACCGCCCACCTCAAATTCTGTCTCCCACTCCTACACAACTAATAGCAGTCTCCACCTCACTCCTGCTTCGCGACAATCAAACACCATCATGCAGATCATCACCCTTCTGCTTGCGCTCTGCGCCAGTACGACCCTCGCCAAACCCCTCGCGATGCCCCAGAGCGGTGAAGATCCGAACTGGAAGCCTTCTCCAGGTACTACAGTCACGTGCGATACCAAGTCCGACAAGTTTCTTGGTCTCTACGTCGGTCCTCAGATGGGGCAAGTGCTCAACCAAGGTTGCGCTGCCATGATGCCCGATTGCGCCTACCCCGACAAGCATCCAGGCATCCTTTGCACCAAGACCATTGACTTCGCACTCGATGGACCCAAGAGCAGCATCCAGAATGCCCTCGTCCAAGGCCCCGACGGAAGACTCCCCGGCTGGAAGGCAAAACGTAAGTCACCTCCCACAGCCATCATCGCTGTACCTATCCATCACACACAATGCTAAATCTCGCAATCAACAGTTGCCGTCTACCCTCCCGCGCAGCCCAAGAATGAAGCTGGCGTCTTCTGGCAGGTCAAGGATTGCTATGGCTACTTTGCTCACTTGCTCGTCAACTGGGTGGACAAGGGCGGCTGTCATAGCAACGCTGGGTTTGGTCTTGGCAACATCACCGCTGGGGTTGAGAGCTCGCTTGAAGGCACCATCTTTGAGGTTACTGTTGTGCAGGCGGAGTAGAGTCACGGAATGGTGGTCATGAGCGAATGACTGACGAGGGAAGAGAGCCGGTCAAACTTGGGACACCATGGCTGTACGAGTTTAGGCTGGCATCTTGCACTGCCTACTACCTATACGAGAAATGAAATTCATGCTCAACATGAGATTTTATCATGTGGATCCATACCATGCGCACGTGAATTACTGAATGTAAGGGTGAGATGTTGGTTTATAGAGTCAGCTTACGCCAGGCTCGAGAAGTACCTTTGAGCACCCAAGACTATGCACTCTTCCTAGCGTTGACCCTGACTTTTGCTAACCAAGAACTTATAATGCGAAGCCCGTACGTAGTGACATGAAGAACTATCCATCTCAAATCCCCGCCAACTCTCACTTTTCCTTTAGTTTCACGTACGTACATGTCAGCTACAGACCACGCCACACAACTTCATCTCATGCATTACTTTGAGAATTCTGGAATAGTGGAGTTCCCTCTCCCAATTCAAAAGTCACGGGGATATCCCACATGGAGCCATGTGCAACTGGGCGTCAGCTTAGGTTGCCTCATTCTCACGTGTGTGTGGGGTTGACTAGGATGTACTTTCAGAGCCCTTGGTTTGCGTGATGATAGGGGTATCAACAAATATTCCTTGTCTTGGTCTTTTGTCGGTTCTGGACATGTTCTTCGAGATGGGATTCACCGTGATGACGCCTATTGTGAATTTTCACTAGACCGACTAGGACAGCACACGTATATATTAGCAGCTTCGAGTGTCACAGTCTTTTGTCTGGCATTGGGTACAAGTGGATTATGTAGATCTCCGCATGCACCGCCTCGTAATCCTCAATCTTAGAGACTACTTCTTTTGACTACGACAGTAGAGCTCCTCGGATCCGTCTCTACTGCAACATATTTCCCATCCTTGCCGCCCTCTCCCCACAAACCCCACATCCATTCCTCTGCTTCTTCAGAGGGCGGTAGCCATCCCAAATTACTCCAGAGAGGTTGACCGCCCCAGGAAAACAGCGGGTTATGAACTTGAAACGACGACGGCTCGTCCCCGACATTCGGCAAGATGACACATAGTGCGAAATCGATGATGCACACGCGCAAGTCAGGATCAGCAAACGGTGCCATGTTAGCAGGAACCCTGTGGCCCGACGATGGCGTCAAACGCGACAGTATAATATTGCGTGCCTCGAAATCCAAGTGACGTATCCCGGCCACGACGAGATCGGATTCCGCTTCAATGACCTTGGCCATGATGTTCTCACGCTCACCGTCCAGCAGCGCTTGGGGATTCATGTCGCGCATGCTCGTGCCTATGACGTGTTCTAGAAGGATCATTTGCACTCGACGAGAGCCACTCCGGCCTGCTACGGGTACATTGAAGATCCAAGAGCCATGGAAAGCGGGCGTGATGACGCCGATTGCACCCGTCGTCTTTTGGAGTTCGAGGTACGCTGCCGTCTCGGCAATGTATTCGTTATCTGCAATCAGTGTCACATTGCGCTTTTTCGGGTTCTTCGGCGGTGCCCAGTCGTAGTCGTAGTGGAAGTTGTAGAAGAGTGGATCGTAGATTTTTGCAATCAGTCCGTTTCGCAAGAGGACGATTTGGGCGCCGCATTCATCGCCGGTGCGGACCAAGTGTTCAATCTCAATGGTGCGGTACTCATCCATTAGTGTTCCTCGAGTGTTTGGAGGATGCGATAGGCACCAGTCCAACTGCGAGGCATCTTTGAGACTGTCGCCAAACGTTCCTTCTCTCGGGAAGTTGCTCGTACATTCCAGGGACGAAGGCAGGTGGCGTTGTGCAGTGAAGCGCCTGCCAATCTTATATGGAGTTGCGATTTTCTTAGGTGGGGTGCTGGGAGGTGAGATCAGGCTGGGCACGATGTCGTCTGATGAACGGAACATGTTGTAGATGAAATTGAGTTGGAGTAATCGTGTCCGGGGATGTTTGCTCACCAGATAAGTGATATCCAAAGATGGGAAGCGAGCTGGTTACGTCATACCTGCACCATCTCAACCACGCCGTGAAACGATACCAATGTGTTTGACACTCAAACCGTGGTTCGCGATGTCGACCGGTGCCTTTGGCACACAACCAATCAGATGCTGGCGGAGGCCAGGCCACTTGGCAAATTTGCCTACTTCATCCAACGCGCTATCTACATCTGCATCCAGTCAAATTACCGGTAATTCACGAATCTCAAGAAGAGCTCGTGGTATATTCACATGCCCTCCGTCGTACCCTGCATGCTTCTCCATTCTACTCTGCGAATGAAAGAGTCCGGGAAGTTCTCGCCGGTCCTCCGATGCAACACCAAGCTTGTTGCATGGAGCAGTGTCTCATAGATTGATATTTTGGTCTTGACGTGCTATTTATAATATAGCGGAGCTACTTGCAATATCGCGAAACTAATCACGTAGTCACGTGACAAACATAGCGCCAAGGCAATATTTTAGGTGGACGTCTTAATACTTTAAACAGTCTACTATATTATCTTCGAATTGACTATAAAATCAAAATTTCAGTTATTTCACAAGAACCGTGATGATTTTCACAGCGAGCAGTGTCTACATACCACGACTGAAACGAGAAATCTAAACTCTTGATTACCATGGTAAGTGAGCTGAAATCAAGTCTAAGGCTCGTGGTGAGAGATATTTGGAGAAGTTTTACCTATTCCAAAGAAGAAAACGCGTTTGAGCGAAAGTGTGAATATGAGAACCCTGTTATGGAGATATCAGAAAAGAGTTACGATATTAAGGCATTGCAATGGACAGTCGAGAGTTTCCTTGAAACTAGAATATACCAGCAACTGACTTTCTATAACATAGTACTTGATCCTTCATGTAGCCTGTCCTGTAGGCCGTGCTATGCGATTATCGAATTTTTCTACCGAGAAAACTTCTTCGAAATTGCGAAGCACATTTAACATGAGTAAAAGTCCCTCGAGGTTTTATCATTACCATTTGCGGCATAAATCTCGAAAATCAAAAAGAATACCCCTATGCTTGAATGCCGGCGGTGACGCACAAATGCACATGATCTTGCGCGGCTGTGAAGAGCAGATACAATGGATGATTTGAACCATCATGACTTGCGGATAATTTTGACGGCAAGTCGATGCACCTGTGTTTTGTGTAAGATTACCTAGTTCCGGCTACGGTAAGTGGCATCTTCGCCGAGTACTTTCGATTTAGTGACGCTTTATAGTTGAAGTAGCCATGATAAAGTAGTCCTTCAATTGCCAGATAGCGATCATTTCACGAGTATCATGTGCCCACGAAGAGGAAACCAAGGTCTCTGTGGTTATCTGGAAGTACAAAAAAGAACACCATTTAGATGCTGGTAAACGAAGATTCAAAGGACTTCATTTGACGCACAATCTAGAATTGCTATATAGTGAATTGGTTGCACGCGTCGTCGCGAGGCTGTTCCAATGCCAAGTCGGCACATACGTCATCGTTCCTTTCCGTCGATCGCGTACCTGAGCCTTGCATCTTTGACCAGCTCAACGGCGGCTGCAAGCAACCGACTCCAATACGATGACCGTGTGAACTCTGCTATCGTCGGCCGCTTCGGCGTTCACTTGGTGGCGGTCACGTCCTTCAGGGTTCCTAGCGAACTCTTTTCAGCCTTTCTCCTTTCTTACTTTTTCTAAACGGGCCGGGCAGTAGTCCGGCACAGGAGGTATTAGAGTATTCCCAAGACCTTCACGTGGGAGCCCCGAAAGGCTATTCGAAATCTCAACTCGCGAAGAGTAGCTTGTGTCTAGAGCAGGTGTGCCAAGAAATGACGTTGCATTAGGATGTGGAGCCCCAGCCACAATTTGCTGCATTATACACACTACATAGACCGCCAGTCCCCTGCTCCCACAAGCATTCGTACACATTGCCTAAGAGTTTCAAATCCTGTCGACACAAACTGCACTATAGAATCAACATGCGTGTCACCAGTACAGTCCTTGCATTGAGTTCGGTTGCATCCAGTCTGATTCTTCCCCGTCAAGCATCAGTCTCCAACTCAAGCACCCCCAATGTCGCGGCCGCACAGTACGACGGAAAGTGTTTCTACCCCGTGCCCGACACCAAATTTGACTTGGAAGCCTATCTTGGTACATGGTACCAAGTCGCTGGCACGCCATTCGGTCCTACTGCAGGAGCACGTTGCGTTTCCGCGAACTATTCACTCAATGTACGCTGAACGGAACTCCCCACGATAGCAGAATCTGACCGAATCTGCAGGGAAATGGTACGGTTCGCGTCGTGAACTCTGCAACAGTCGGATCACGGCCTATTGATATTATCGGGACTGCAACTCCTGTGGATTCTGTGTACGGTGCAGGTGGCGCTTTTGTCGTCAATTTTCCCGGTGCATCATCAATGAGCGAATGCCCCGGACCAAACTACATTGTACAAGGTAGGCTCTACTGCGATCAAGTGCCCAGGATCTTATTAAAATAATAATAGATTATGCTGTCGAATGGGCCATCGTACAGACACAGAATTGGAACACACTCTACATTCTTTGCAGAGAACGACAACCAGCTCCAGCGAGCATCGACGTAAGTATAACTTGATCAAAAGACAAGCGCAAAATTAACATAGTCGCAGGCTTGGATTGACCGTGCTGTGGCGTTCGGCTCAGATGCGTCTGCTATTCAGAAATTCAATCAGACAGGGTGTGATGGCAACTAGTGTACTAATCCAAATGTGAGAACAAGAAGCATACTATACAGTAGAACTATTTTCTCTTATGATAGAGCTTCAAATGCAGTAATAACATCCCTCAAAGCCATCTGACAATCCTCAAGCTAGGTATTTGTTGCAACTGCCAGCTGATCATATAATTGATTTTCATTGTCGCCATCGGCTACGGTAATTGCACCCTGTACCGTACGGCAGTTTCATCAATGGCCTTGCTTGATAACACTGATAATTCATCCCACACAGGTGAGCCGGACGATGACTGCAATAGCCTCAAACGAAGTGGCAGTACCTTGCTTGAAGAGCAATGCATATCCTGCTAGCAGAGAAGGGGCCTAGGAATTGACCCCGGAACTTCTAGATGAGCTGAATGCACTGTCATCCTCGATCAAGAATACTTTGAACGTGTGTTCATTCGCGGCGACACGTGGTTAGCTGAACATCGTATTGAAGAGCAGAAGACCGGTGATGTTTTGCTGCTGTCAAATATTACAGCTACTAGTGAAGCTGCAGCTCCGTGGGTGTAATCGCCCTCGGCCTTCAAAAACAACATGTGTTTTTCTCTATCCTACTCGTTGATGTACAGCCCTGGATGTGCACAGCACGATATATGCCAACCCCCGCCATTCATATCGATTTTAAATACCAGGTATTATATCGAGGACCGAAAGGTTCAGCCAGGGCATGCCTCGTAGCTTGAATGCTGGAACAAATAATACAGCGTGACATATACAACTCCAGCTCCTTGGTACCCCAGTTCTATTCACCACACCACGCAATATATCACGCACCTTGCCCACACGCTGAAAACAGCGGTTGCGAGATCCAAGACACACTATTAGCGCATAGGGTATTGAGGGCAAAAAGGAGGGGGGGGTGGGGGGAGAGGGTAATATGTATGTTTTGATGGGGAGGTGGTGGTGACGGTAGTCGTGATGTAATTCAAGCTTAGCTTGAAAACTCTCCCGGTTCACTCAAGTAAGAGTATTCTACAACACTGACCCACAAGCCGTGGGACTACTAAACATACGTCCCTTACGATCCAGTCAAGAAGCCTATACGGGGGTACTTCAAGCTTGCAGCCAGCCATGCTCAATACTTTTCGTCCTCCCAGTTTACAACAGCTCATCACCCCCTCTTTCCTTCTCCACAGCCGCACTCTGCAACTCCTCCAACCTCTCTAATTGCCTCTTCAACATGACCAGCGCACCCAAACTGACCTTCCTTAAGCCGTCACGCTCCCCCTCATCCTCCCGATTTTCACTCCTCTTCACAATCTCCCTTGCCGCCTGCACGGCCCTGTCCAACAGTCGCGGCGCCCCCTCCTTCCTACTCTGATACAGCCACTGCAACTCCTGCTGAAAGGGCTCGACCGGATTGGTAAGCGCATGATGGATAAACGCTCGTGCGCGAAAATACGCGCGTTCAGTGTAGAGCGCGCTGCTCAATTTGGTTTCCGGCGCAGAGCGATGGACGTCATAGCCTGCTTCGTTGTAATACGGTTCCTTGACTAGTACCAAGCCTAGAAGAGACACGAGAACCTGAAGGATGGTGCTCTTACTCGTCCAGCCCTCTCCTTTGCCGTCTGAATGCCATGTTCCCAGCAAACTCAAACAGATCGTGCCGTCTTCGTAGAGGTTTGGATTTACGGGCCCTTCGCCGCCGGTCCACGAGTGAAAGAAGACTTTGGGTGGGGTCGTAGGCCAGGTGGGAGGAAGGTAGACATCGATTACAAAGGGGGCGAATTCGTAGGGTGTGTCAATTGGGCCGATGATGAGGATGCGGAGGAGATCGAGGCGCGATTCCCAGGTTCTCACGTAGATGCTGGGAGGCAGGGACGTGGCAAGGATGCGGTGTTCTTTCGCGACTCGTCGGATGAGAGTGGGAGGGGCGATGGCGGGTGACTTAATAAAGTGATGCGAATCTGGCGTGGGAGTCTCGAGGATGGCGAAGGGAGCTGGGGCGCCTGGTGGCTGGGAGGGTGTCGATTCTGGGTCTGATGCAACCTGGCCAGTTGGAATTTCATCCTCTGTGGCCATGAGTTCTTGTGACCGTGTGGGCTCTTCGGCTTTATCCTCTGTTAATGGGGATGACTTGCTTTCTGGTGTCGTTTTGGTCGTCTCGACTTCGCCTGGGTCAATGAAATCTGGCATTGACTCATCATCATCATCGTCGTCGTCAGTCTCATCCTCATCCTCTTCTTCGGTTGACCAGTCGCCGTCGTCACCTGCCATCGCCTCACCATCCATGCCTTCATATTCAATCCACATCTCCTCGAAATCAGATTCGCCGCTCATGGAATATGAGTATCCATCTAGTCCATTGAAGGTTTCTTCATCATCCATGTCACTACTATACGCGAGTGTGACGCCCTCGTACGGAACTTTTACGTCAACAACAGGCTTTGCGGCCCCTAGTCGAACCGTGAGCTTTCCATCCAGACCAAGGTCAATAACTTCGCCGAACCAGTCTGGGCCAGTAACGTTGAGAGGTGTCTCGAGGCCTTCGATGGAGTTTGGATGTATGAGGACGAAGTCGCCACGTCGTCGCGTCAGGGCAGGGAATGAATAGATGTCGTATAAGCTGACGTCCTCAATGGCTTCGTCGAGCTCTCCTGTTCTTGCGGGCCGTAGTAAGTCAGATGCGAAAAACTCGACCAGAGGATCTTTGAACCAGCGTACGGTGGCTATGCGATCACGACCATTAACCGTTTGGACCACACCAACCTTGGAAGGCTTCCTATCATAGTTTTCGGAGGAATTTGTGCTTGTGCGGCCCTCTTTCGAGAAGATGACCTCGCCCGGCCAAACCTCGTCGTCATCTTCTACATTTGGATCAGGAAGAAGCGTTGTTGCAAAGTCCTGGGTGACTGTGAGATCCTGCCATTGCACTGTGGCCATGCTGTGAGTCTGCATGACCAGGAAGACGTTGAGATCGTAACCCATGGAGTCTGTGCGTGGGAGCTTAGTGACTTTGCCTCTCGGAGCGCCATTCGGCAGTGTCCCAGAACCGTTGTACTTGACGGTGGCGGCGGTGATATCCTTGAACCGAACATGATCCCCCACAGCCACATCAGCGACATGATAAGAGCGGTCGACGCCGTTGGCTGCAATGGGTAGTGTGTTTGCGGCACTACCAGAGGCATCATATTTGTAAAAGGTAGGGCTTTCAAACTCGTCGCGACCCAGGGTAACGGGTGGTTCCTGAACGCTGCGGCTGTTGTCGACGGCACTGATACTCCTTGCCATCCATTGCACATCGATTTCAGAGGTACGCACCTCGACTACAATACCGACGGGCTTCACGTTGGGATCAAACGCACCGAACCGCCAATTGCCCCGCCGTAAATTGCCCTTCTTTGTCTTGACCTTGTCACCTACGCTGATGCGATCCGCTGACGCTTGACCCTCGCGCTCCAACTCGGTTGGATCTTCGACCACGACGACGGAATTGTTGGATAGCTTCACGGCCATTTCGTCGTAGACGTTCTCGACGCGGCCCACCCAGTCATTGTAGACGACCAAAGTGCCCTCGACAAACTCGTGGACGTTTAGCAATTCTTCGACCGGGACTTGGCCGATGCACAGTTCGGTGGCAGCCGCTTGTGTTATCTCGCCGCCAGTGAATCGGGTGGCTGGGAAAAGGGTACAGACAGCGGTAGTCCCTATGACGGTCCCGCTCATGTGGTCTTTGACGTTTCGCTTCACAACGTCGCCCACATAGAGCGCGCGATCGAGCAATTCAAGTTTGGTTTCTATGATGAGTTCTGTCTTGAGTTCCGTCTGCCATGCGACCAGAACGGTCCCTCGTGGTGGGATGCCGGTATTCAGGAACTCTGCAAAGGCTCCGGCCGAGATGTCGGGGTCACGCTGAATCTCTTCGTGATATTCATGCTGTGGCCGAGGAAGGTGAGTATCGACATCGCCGAAGCAACGATCGATGACACCAACAACCGACGTGTCGCTCTTCAGGCCAACGGTGTCTTCGACGCAGAACACGACATGTCGTTCTTGCTGCATTGCATGTGCACAAGTGGCAAGGCGTGACGTATCCTCGTTCAGGCTGACGAGTGGCGTTGTTTGCTTCGACAGTCCAAATGCAGAGGAAGGCGTAATGGCGCTGACAGGTGCAGTATGGGGCAGGTTATTACTCTAAATGGCAGCACCACTCGTGACCGATAAGGTAGTGGTGGGGGCGGGGACGAGGTATGTCCGCCGAGATCTCTGGCTGTGCGTCGGGGAGGAAGCCGTCTTGCAGGAGGTTAGCGACGAAGAGTTCGAGGGCGGTTGGTGGCGATTCGTGATGGATGTCGTTTACGTAGTGCTCGGGCGAAGTGTGGGGAGGATTATTGGCGGCGGCGGCGGCGTCGTGTCGTTGTGATTGTGATTGTGGTTGTGGGCCGGCAAGGTGGAAAAGGCTGTTGGTATGAAAAGGGCAAAAGGCGCGGGCATGTGAAGTTGCCCCGCCAAGAAAAGAAAGGTCGACCGGGATCATTGAATGGGCGATGGGCGATGGGCGATGGGCGATGAATGATGAACGATGAATGGCGGCGATCTAATGTGGGGGGGAAGACCCGTCGACGCCGTTCCTGGCCCGCCCGGACATGCCCGTGTGCGAACTCCGCAAACCTCCACTCAGACACGAGACACGTCCAACGACATGCAAAGTGGCCGCCAATTCACCCAGCCAACCTAACCACCTATCAACCCCTACTGCCACCCACCAAGGCTACAAACACAATGGCAGACCCGCTATATGAACTGCTAATCCCCTACTTTGACGCCCACGACACCCAAACACGGCCCTCACCCACTGACCCCATCACCAACACCTATCTTGCCCGTCTCACCACACTGCCCATAGCTGCCCTCACATCCTCGGAACAACAGTCCCTCTCCCAAAGCTCCCAGTCCATACTACGATCTCTCCAGGCGCTCTCCAAACGCTCCCACCAACCCATCATCTCATCCATTGACCACCTGCTGCACCTGCGCCACACACTTCCACATATCGGCCAGGATGCTGCCTCCATACAAGCAGAGCTGCCCAATCTCGAGACCGCCGCCCAGCAATTCGCAGAGAAATACAGCAGAGGCGCCGAAAATCCTATTCTCGACAGACGGCGAAAGGCAATGCTGCTCTCACGGAACATAGATCGTGTCTCCGACGTCCTGGACCTACCCACACTCCTCTCCTCCGCCATCTCCTCCTCCACAGCCGCCGCGCAAGCCAATGCCTCTGTGGCATCCTCAAGTGCAAACTATGCCTCGGCCCTCGATCTTCACGCTCACATCAAGCGTCTGCACGCCCTCTACCCAAACTCCGCGCTCATATCCTCACTCGCGACCCAAGCTGAGCAAGAAATGAAGACCATGACGACCAACCTAATCTCTTCCTTGCAATCCCAGTCCATCAAGCTCGCAGGCGCAATGCGCACCATCGGCTGGCTCCGTCGCGTAGCCCCGGAACTCGATGATTCTTGGTCAACGAAACAACCCAGCATTGTTAGTGGCGAAGGCACACTCGGCGCCCTCTTCCTCGTCTCACGACTCGCATCCCTAGAGCTCATGTTGAGCGCCCTAGATCCCCTCCGCGAACTCGCAGACCAAGAGACGGACAAACGACAAGCGCAGCGTGATAAGCCTGATGCAGCATGGGCCTCTGGCCAACAAACGGAAAAATATCTCAAAAAGTACCTCGAAGTGTTTCGTGAACAGAGCTTCGCAATCATCTCCATGTACAAAAGTATATTTCCTTCTGCCCTGCCTGCACCGGGTTCCGAGGAATCCGCACCAGCTGTAAAGCCCGTTGGTACCAACGAGTCCAATGCTTTACAGCCCATTCCCTCAGCCCTGGCCACATTTCCATCACACCTGGTTGAAATGCTCTTCGATACCCTGCACGCATACCTCCCCAATGTCCAAGATCGCTCGGCTAGGGACTCGCTACTAACCCAAGTTCTCTATTGCGCCGGCTCCCTCGGCAGACTGGGCGGCGACTTTAGCTTGATGATTGCCATCCTGGAAGAGGATCTGAGGACTCAGTTGGAGCATGGACACGAGCATGGTCAAGAGATAGAGGACAAGGAGACGGAAGAGGAATGGGTACATGTCATGAAGAAACACCGTGTCCAGGCATCTCGTCTCGAACTCCTCGCTTCGGGCGTGGGGACCACGCGCGCAAGTAGTCTTCCTGATCGCACTGCTAGCCCTGTTCGTTGAAACGATGCTGGCATGGTGGAGAGAGAGAGATTAGATGTAGTATTTGTGTGTTCTAGATACCCTTTTGCTCATCTTGCGGTCGTATAAATTTTTTTTTATTAAAACTTGAATTTCATAGCTGTCATTCATATTACTTTTCCAGCTTCTATCTGGCGCCCTCGTCTACCTCCTACATTTGTAAAGGATAAACGCAGAGTTTTTATAAGCTGTGAGTCTGATAATAAAAATAACTTTATCTGGCTGAGAACTCGGCATCTAGCTGCCGTGAAGCTGTGAAAAGACGAGCAGGGTGTAGTCTATACGTATAAACTCTACGCAAGTACTCAACTATAGGTCTCACGCTACATGGCACCAATATCTACTAATTATCTATCTTGTCTCTGCGACCAATTCCATCCTGCGTTTGCGTTTAGAGAAGATCGCAGGCGATATAGCAGTGAAATTGTGCCGCAGCATCGTCTACTCTCACCTGTGCCAAACAACCCAGAAGTGTGCAGATAATTCGTGAAGATCAATTAAAGTGACGTAGAATACAGGACTTGTATAGGCATGTCCTCGCTAGTCGCAAAGGCAGTTATCAAGTATCGCAGAGGATCTTAGGATAGGCTTGTGTAATTGCGGAGAGAGATTGCAGGCAGAGGCGACTGTGGGAACGTGTAGCGGTCAATAGTATTTATTTCCCTATATCTTTTGCTACAAAAATATGCAATCTGTCTACCTTCTCGCGTTAGGTGTGCCCGTGCCCAAAAAAAAGACAAAGGAAAGTAATTTCTCTTAATTATTGCGCACCTAGCTATTGAACGCCGCAGGCGAGCAAAAAAAAAGATCTTAGGGTACCAGCTACTACTAATCGACGTGGTACCAACTTTTCGTAGCCGATACAGGAACGATTCAAACCGGCGCGCGATGAGTTCTGACGACAACACACACAACCGCAGACACCATATTGTGTCACTGCCAATTGCGCTAATGTGCGTTGTCATGAATCGATGTTAGTATCTCTACTTTGCCTTTATAATTACTACAATAATCTGAGTTTTCTTCGTCGTGGCTGTACTCGCTGTCGCAGTGACGCGATGAGGTTTGGGGGAGGTGAGGCTGCGCAACCTGCGCGCGGCGTTTGCAAGGCAACAGCAGGATCGATGACGTCGAGGTGAGAGCGGGATTGAGAGCACATTGTACATAGAAATTGAGAACAGCTGAACACATCATGGAAGCGATGAGGGGCGTTTGAGGGAGCACCAGGAGATATGGCAGAGTAGATTGGGAAGTTAGAAGTGAACACATTTGACTTGGATTATGACTGAAAGTGAAGTAAGAATGTAATGAGAAAGATTCTTTGAGGCTCTAAAGTCTCTGCTCTGGCAAATGAAGCTGAAATTGGAGCTCTGAAGGCACATACCATATTATCGTATGGTGAAGTGTTGCTGCTTGTGCCATCTACGCGCTGCTTCAAGAGTTGACTGAGGTCATGTTTGCAGGCCACCACATTCTCATCGAGGTATCAGAAGGCCCAGATCAGTACACGTAGCTTGATAAATTGAGTGGAGCGAAATGAGAGCTGGAAGGAGTGAAAAAGTAGGACTGGAATCATACGATTCGGTATTTGAGTAGGCGCGACATGTCACAATGTAAGACACGACATCACGCTCCTACTCTCAAATCTGGCGGTGACCCTAGATCCTTAGAGAACAGAACCACATCATATCAGAAGCCAGACAACAGCCCAGAGTCCCACCGCTGCTCTGGTTGAAGCCCAAGTTCCAGTCAACCTGAGTGCTGGTCCCACATTCTGCGTCGGCGATGCACCCGTTCCTGCAACACTTGCTGGCGTCGCGCTAGCAGCTATGGATTGCCCATTCACAATGGTCGCAACCGCGAACGCGGTGTGATCTCTCCTCAATTCTTCATGTGGAATCGTTATGGTTTCCGGCCCTGTGAACGTAAAATCCAAACCACTAACGTCGGGCGCCTTCCATTCGGCCGTACACGTAATTTCCGCTGTCGTAAAAGCACCCTTCCACGTGCAAGCACCGTCTTTGGTTCCGGGATATTCGCCGGGGTTCGTTAGATGGAAGCCCCATGTTTCTGGACCTTGGATCAGCGTGAATGGAATACATATTGCAAATTCGCTTGACGCCGTAATCTCATAAAGCGCGGTACTGTCTTCGCGCGAAAAACGCGAGTAGAGGCTGGACAAGTATGCTGACTCCTCAGCGGGCGAGAAATAAGCATCGTAGAAATCTGAGGAGGTTGGTGTGGGTGATGGCGTGGAGGAAACGGTCGTGGTAAAGGGACAGCCTTTCTCGAAAGTAGTTGCCGTTGCATCGGAGGAGACGAGGGTCAGTGTAGGCTGAGGATCCCAGAGTAGATTCAAGTACAGTGTACTTGATTGCGCTGCCACTGCGCCCATTAAAAGAAGTCCTGTAAGGATCATTTTGTCAGGCGGTTTGCTCAAAGTCCAATATACTCCTTGAAAGCCTAGGAGTGAAATTCGGGAGACTTTGTATGCGCATGTCGACGTTTTCGCGAGCTCTCTAGGATATATGTAGTTCTTTCACGACTTGGAGGCCTGATTGCGGGCCAAGTGACCTGAATGGTAATAGCCAAGACCTACGGTACATTGTCCGGTTTGGCGGAAGCGAGGACCTTACGGTACCGTAGTCTAATCCTAGATCAGACGACATCCCGACCTCCTTCAAGGTCGCTTAAAGAAGAGATGTCTGTTGGTATTAACTCAAACCATCCATATAGTTTTATTTCTCGAAAGCACACTCTCACCAATATAGAGAATCTCAAGAACCAGCTTAACGTGGAACTGAATCTTGGACAGTGATATCGCGTTTGATATCCGCAAAAAGCTCAGGTTCCTGATTTCTTTAAAGGGTTATAACTTCATCAAATGTGTTTATACCTAGTCCTCAGTTAAAGAAGCACCAGAAATTTACTGATATAGATAGTGAGTTATAAAGCAAAACTGTGATCTACGAATTTTCTTTGAATTGCAGATGCGACCAGATTGTTGCGACATCTGTTCCATTCCAAGCTATGATAAGCTCTAAGTCTACATTGGAAGTGAGGTCTTGTCTCACAAAAAGAATTACACGAAAGACTGCTTCTTCATTTTAAGGAGCCGTCCTTCTTCTTTCGAGAACTGCAAGGAGTGTTTTGGCTTCGCAGCCCTGGGCATTGAACTGATGTGGATATTAACAATTGCAATTTTGCCACTGTACCATCACCATTGTCTGCTCTATGTTAAAACACACGTGTATTGATAGTTGAAATGATCGTTGCTCTCTACCTCACTGCTGGCACAAATACTTACCCCTTCGATTACATTTCACTCACAACCTCCCGAGTGAGGCAGATGCAAGGCAAACAACAATGACGTCAAGCTATAGCATTTTCGCTGCAGTAACGATCCGAAGGACACAAGCAATTATAATTACTCATAGTCAATTTTCATGGAGCATGCGTACCACCTTTACTTTGGTTGGCGCAGTAGGAGTGGAGCCTGCTGCAGCACTACGGTACAAAACCGGTTTACAGTAGCCATATTTATCTAAAGTAGACTAAGAAGTGGTTTAGGTAGAAGAAGTAAACCTAAATAGGGTTTACTATACTATATATTCTACTTTTACTTCTACTTCTATTAATCTACTAGTATTACGTAGTAATAACTAGTTTCCTACTAACTATCTAAGTATTTTACCCCTCCTTTCTTTAATCTTCTTCACCACCTCCACCACCTCTACCACCTCTACCACCTCTACCACCTCTATCACCACCTCCACCACCTCTACCACCACCTCTATCACCACCTCTATTATCACCACCTCCTATTAGTAAAAATATCATAACTTATTATTATGTCATATATGCGTATAGCGTGAAGCTAATCTTCTCTACCCTTTTTAGTCTTAGTTAGGTATTATAGCGTATAATAGAAATAAAACTACTTATTATACTTAATTTAAACCCCTACTATAAAAGTAAACTACCACTTTAAACCTATTTATAGGTATACACAAGGGCAGTTTACACCTATATAGTAAACCCCTAGCGTACCATTCTACAGTAAACAATTTTTTACCGTAGTGCAGCTTGACAGCAATCACAACAGCAAAACCTCTTTAGTATGGCTACATCAATCTACGCTGTTGGACCGTACCGTCAATTGTGAATGATCAAGATCTTTGCCAGCTCGGTGAGTATATATACCTATCCTTCGCTACCTGTGGGAGGTAGGGACGTAGCGATTCGTCTACTCTGAGTACATCCTTCACCAACTTCTACGCACTATATCTTATTGCGCAGTCTACCCGTTCTCACATGCGCATTCATCTCTGAAGTCGCTCTTATCTGTTGAAAAGTCTACGTAAACCATAGATATTGATCCTGTGACGCAGACGAGTGAGGGGCGAGGCTAAATTGGATATGCCCTGTAGTAGATCACAGACGTCATCAAGGTACGGGGAATGATACCGATCCCTCCCAGAGAACTAGCGCAT